GCATACGTCAAAGAATCAAAGTAAAGGAGCAAATTACAAGTAGGAGAATTTTAGTAATTATATAGTAAGCAATAAAATTATTTTATGTTAAATATAACAGTAGCTTATTACCTTTAATTACCTAAAAAAACTCGCCAAAGCTAATGCTTCGGCAAAAACTGACCCTGGCTTCGGCCGAAGCATAAGCTTCGGCAAAAGTGCCGAAACTTCGGTACATCCCTAATAAAAATAATATAATATAAACATATATTCAATAATAAATTTTCATAAATTAAAAAAATATACAAAGCATTTATTTTCACAACAACTAACCGATAAAATAGTTCTATTTTCACAATAACTAACCAATAAAACAGTTTTATTTTCACAACGAACCATTAAAACAGTTTTATTTTCACAACAACTAACCAATAAAACAGTTTAATACAATTCATTTACATGAAAAAATCTGTCTAAAAAAATTAGCACTAGTCTAAATATATTTTTGAAAAGAAATGAATAACAAATACTTGAACTCAGCTTCATCAATAGAAAACAAAGCAAATACCTGTAACAAATAATTCATTGGGAGCTTCAACAAAACCACCATTTAACATAATGTTACTTTGATAATAATTTAACTTCAGCAGCGTAATAACTATAAAAATAATTTTTTGTATAGACAGGTTGCTTTGTTTACATTTTAAAGCGCACGCGAAAAAAACGACAGTCAAAACATTAAAATTTTGTTTAAGATCTTGCGTAATTCCAAAACAGTGCAGTTATTTTCTTAAAATATAAGTTTTCATTTCTTTCCCTTTGTCATCAAATCATGCCTGATAACAAATTTCACATAAATGTATATATATATATATATATATAATATATATATATACAAATAGTATTGCGTACAAAGGTAATCTGATGTCATACTGAAATAGCCTGGTGCTGGGGGCTTCAGTACATACATCGACTGACAAATAGCCTTACTCGCAGTCGATGTAGCCTTACTGCTACATCAACTGAGGGTTTGGGATGGGGAAGCAATCGTTTCATTCATCATTCTTCGTTTTTTCTTCTTTTTCGAAAAAAACGGTATAGCTTAAGGTAAGCAGAAAAAGTGAACAAATGCTTATCAAAACACGCTCTAGTAAGTGTATATATATATACATATATATATATATATATATATATATATATATTATATATATATATATATATATATAATATATATATTTATATATATAAATAATATATATATATATATATATATATATATAATATATATTATATATATATATATATATATATATATATATATATATATATATATATATATGTATATATATATGTATTTTAAAAAATTTAAATATTAACAACGTTTATAAAATGTTTTATGACAAAAGGTTTGTCAACAAATCATAAAATATGTTTTCCAATTTAAAAAGAAGTTAAATTTTATTTAGTAGTGTTACACAAAAGCTTATTACATTGTCTTTATGCTGCAAAATGCAGGTAGAGAAAAACCATTTTTTATTTGAAGACAGAGGTAATGATACAATTTGACTGGACAATGAAAATTTACACACGCAGAACAGCTGTAGTTGATTTGGATTCAATTTTCTTGTTACAATTTTTTTAATGTAATTTCTTAAAAAACTGTTTTAAGTTTGTTTTTAAAGATACAGAGTTTATCATTTGTCATGTTTTCATTACTTCAACAGATAATATTTTGTTTTCGTTACCATTGTTTGTTGTTGTATTTGATAGTAATACTTGTGATTAGTTTTAATTAGACCATTTTTATTAAGTGGATAATTTTGGTCATCTTTCCACAACTCTAAGCTGTTTCTATAATTAAAGAGAATTTTATTTAAAAAAATACCCGTTCCATGACAATTTCATTTTTCAATTTTATCTTGACTTGCACTAAGTATAATCAACATTAATGTACAAACTAGCGATTGTAAAGACATTGCATTCAAAAGTTTAAATTTGCAATACTTTCAATTTTAAGATTATAATCTTTTGAAATATAACAAACAATTTTAGAATATTACATTGTCCAGGCCTGTGAATTTTTTAAGAAGTGTTTTTTCTTTAAGTTTTAGACAAATTTTCTATTGTATTAAGTTAACTTTGATGAGATTTCATGAACAATTTGAATGAAACTTTTGATTTTTCTGTAATTTTATCTTAGCTTTCGTTAATAAGCAAAGGCTCATAATGAACATTGGTTGAGCCTGATCTTTAGGAGTAAAGTAAAACTCATTTTCATATGCAGTGTCTGTTTCATTAAAGTTCTCTGTTTCATCAATCTACCAACTAATAATTTCATCAATACCAACTAATAGTTTCATCGATTTAACAACTAATGATTTTTAAAACAGCTTTTGATGCTACTGTATGTAAATTTTGATGTACTTTATGTAAATTTTGATACAAATTCTTGTTTTTTCTATAACTTCGCTGGAATGATAGAAGTATAGATTAATAGAAGTATATCCTGTTAATTTTAAATTTATTTTACTTTTAAAAATTGGCAAAGTATTTTTTGATACTGGTTAACAAACTTTGACATATTTTATCACTTCCACTTTGTGAGACTTTTTATTCACATAGTTTACTTGTACAAACTTCACACCATAACTTTTACTTAGCTTTAGATCTAATGTGGTAGTGGTGTAGTGGTAAAACACTCGCTTCATAAGCGAGAGGTTCTGAGTTCGATCCCCACCCCGTTCTCTGGTAGTACCATGCTCAACTCGTTTCTCCGCGCAGCGGCCTTGTTTGTCAAGGTTCGTGTTTCGGAGTTATAGAGTTGAGAGAGGGTTATAACCATTATTAAGTCGCCTCCTCGTCTGTAGTGGCCTTCTCGGCCTTGAGGACAATCATATAGATATGGATATGGATATAAAATATGGATATAACAATGTAAGGCCTCAGAATGGAAAAAGAACATTAATGCTAATGTGTAAACATAATTATGTAGTGATAAAGTAATAAACATCTCCTCAGAGTCGCGTCTATTGTTACAGGCAAAATATGAAGCAAATATGTTTATCTTAACACCCAAAAAACTTGAGCTCCATTGAATCACTCTTTCCTCGCCCTCAAAGGGCATATTTGGAAAAAAAGTAAATAAATTTCATGGTAAATAACAGCGTAATAACTAAATTTCATATGGACGAAATATGATAAAGTAGTCTACTGCTAATTTGTTAACGATAATAGCCGATTGGTTTTATCGTGCATTAGATGTAGAAGGGTTAAAGTAAATAACAAAAAAAAAAAAAAAAAAAAAAAAAAAAATGTTTTGCCTGTCGTTTTTTGCGCATGCGCTTTAGAGTGTAAACAAAGCAACCCGTCTATACTATAACCATAATTTTTTTAACTTAAACGGACTCATTACTTTAATGTCAAATGCAATAGTGGAGCAATAGTAGAGTGCTTGCTTTGTAAACATTACGAATTTGATTCTTATTGTATCCAAGTAATACAGTACTAAACTTGTTTTTCTGAATAACTTTTGTTTTTCAAGGTTTGTGTTATGAAGTTTAGGAACTGAGCAATGATTGTAAACAACAGTTTGAAAAAAACTGTTTAAACCATAGTGCCCTGTTGGGGCGCCATGACATGGTCTTTGTGAGGCAATTTCAGAATGTCACTATTTCATGCTTACAAGTCTTTCTTACCCTAACTTAAAATTAGTTAGGAGGAATTTATGTTAATGGGAGTTTTAAATCAGACTTATCCTAAGTAAGTAGGCTGCAGCTAAATGAAGGCCTCACCTTCTCCAATAAAATGCATATTTTATACAGAAAAAACTAAACACAAATTGGATAAATAAAAAAATAAAACTTAAAAGAAAATAACCTATTTTATTCATCTCAATGGTTTTAGAAGAAATGTTAAGTTGATTGAATAAGTTAACTTCTATCTTGATTCGCTCTTCGAATGCATTCAACAATTTCATTGCATGCTCTAAACCATAGGTTTCCTGAAAAAATGATTTTTCATTTAAATAATAAAATCACAAATTTTTATTTAAAAAAATTTTTTTAAATTAAAGTTAATTGGTAATTATGTTCACTTCAAAACTTCTAATTTCAGATTTTTTAAAAATATTTTACATAGGGCTAGCTTTAAAATGTTTTGTAACAGAAGATACTTCTTTTCAAAAACAAAAAATACTCCTGATTTTAAAACTAAACTTTGTCTTTATGTAAATCAATTTCTTACATCCATTTTCAGAACTATATCATCCAATTTAGATATAATAGTTTTTTTTCTATCTTTATTTATGATTTCTTTTTCTTTTCTTTTCTTTTCAGCGCTGTTATCTAATATTTCTTTTTCTTTTTTATTGACTTCATTGGATATTTCATTTATACAAGGAGCAACTTCTATCAAAGAAATTTTTTAATTTTAATCAAAATTTAAACAATAAAACCTTAGAAGAATAACAACAGAATATTAAAAGTAATATTTAAGCAAGCAATATCATGTTTTAGTATTATAAGTAATATAAAATTTATAAATATAATAGTATTTATAGAAAAGAGAAAGTATTTATAGAAAAGAAAAAGAGAAGCAACTTTATGACAATGTGATAATGGTTAAAAGTTAGCTCCAAGTACAGATCCAACTATGCTTACAATTCATTTTTGCTAAAAGAGAAAGTCTGCTCAAGATATAACAACATTATTCTAGACAAAGACGGATTTTAGATTTATAGAGATAAAGAATAGAATAGAAAGAGAGTAAGAAAATGAGCACAATAATTAGATGCAGCCTTAGCAAGTGCTAATTTTGAATTGGATTTGATATTGGTATCCAAGAAAGATTGGAAGTAGGAGTTAATCCTAGAAAACAAAAGTTAGATGACTGATCGAGTACATTACTATTCATAAATAACGGAAGATCTAGATTGTTGTGATAATGATTAACCAAAAGAAAATTAAGTTTTATCTAAAAGATCACCAGCTACTTAGAGCTCCATGCTTTAGCAGAAGTAATATTCTTTTCAAGCTCAAATGCCCGCTCCAAATAATCAGAGAATGTTGGCTTCTTATCAAGACAGGATTAAATAGTAATATCAAAAGAAGCAGCCATAGCTCCCTACATCTATTTAATGCACAATAAAATCTATCGGTTATTACCGTTAACAAATCAGCAATAGAACAAGTAGATCAAAATCCATATTGATGATAAAAATGTTATTAGATTTAAGATAAGAGATTAAGTGTTTGTTAATCAAAGACTTGAACCTTGAAAGAGAAAAACCTTGCTTATGATAGGAAGAAGATTAATGGGACAATAGTTAGACAAGTCAGATGGCTCTCCAAAATTTTTAAAAATAGTGATAACAGATGCCGCTTTCTAGCAGACTGGAAAATAAACTCTTATAAGCACTTGTTAAACAGTTTTAAAAGTATAGACAACAGCTCTGGAGAAGACTTCTGCAAGACTATAACAGATATGCTTTCTGGACCACAAGCTGTAGAAGAATCTAACCAGGAAATCACTTAGATGCAGAAGCTGGAGTGATATGAATGTCAAGCAATGGATCAACCTGTGTGTCAGCTATATTAGATAGGATGTGATTAGTGGAATCAAGAAATGAGAATAGCAAACTATTCAGCTTTGTCTTTAGGTGAAGCAACAAAATCTGAACCATGCAAAAGAGGTGGAATAACAGATTTGCCTTTATTATAGGCACTGTTAAAGATTTTCCAGAAGTCTCAGAAGACTAATTTTTGAGATAAAATACGACATTTTGTGACCTGAAAATAGCTGGCTTAGGCATTAGACAAAAGCTTTTTATAATGGTTTCTTGCAATAGTAAACAGACCTCTGTTTTTTCTTGTTTTGGCAATAGATGTGGAAGTAATGATTACAATTTGAAATTGCAGCAGCACAATTAGAGGAAAACTATGGATAAGAGTGAGGCTTGACTTGAAATTGTCAAGAGGGAATAAAAGATTTCATACCAGCCTGAATACCTGAATCCAAGAAGTTACATAAGAAGCACATTTGTCAGCAGAAAGACAAAAGATTCCTACCCAAGGGCTATCATAAAGTAAATTACAAAAAGAGTCCCAGTAAGCTATAAGGTATTTGTAAGAGGTACGATGATAGGAAGATTCTGATGGTGAAGAATGAGATAATAGTTTTAGAGAGATCAAACCATGATCAGAGGCACCTAAGGGTGAATGTGGAGAAACTGAGCACTGACTAGGATCAGAAACAAAAAATAAATTGTGTAAAGAAGGTAAATGGTTCAGATTGTCTGGAAAGCAAGTTTCCAGAGCCAAGCCATTTAGTGTGTTGAGCATTAAAGTCACCAACAACAATGATATCAGTAAAGGATAAAGAGAAAGGTCAATTTGATCAGAAATAATAATTAAAAGAGTGCAGTCTTGAGATGAAGGAGAATGAAGAACAAGGATAATGGTGATAGAGTGAGGTGGTGCTAAACGAAAGTACATACAAGAACAGTCTGTAGATTTAAACCTGGTTTCCTGACAAATGGGTAAATTTTTACGAATGTAAATGCTTAGGCCAAGCATGTGACTATTGGAGTCCTTATGCATTAAAGGAAGATAATCATCAACAATGAGATCAATAGATGAAACATATTAAATTATTCTCACAAAGAGCAAGTAGGTCTAGTAAACTTTGCAAAAGATAAGACTCAACAGAAGAAAAATTACTTTGAAGACCACAAATATAGTAAATGATAGATTTAGAGAATTTGGTGATGGTTTTTTGTGCTTCATAGTTTTTGACATTTAGTCATTTTTATAATTGGTTAAACTTCACTCGAAGCACAGGTAGCACTCAATACACTATCTAATTGTCCAAGGAATTGTCACATTACTATTAATAACCCTAAGCCATAACAAAGGGCCTCAAATATGGCCTCGACAATGCACACTAAAAGTACAAACAGGGACAATATCGATGTGCAACATGGCACTGTTAGTACTCTGATACTTTAGAACTGTTGATGGAATCAGCCTATCTGAGAGCTACCACAGAGTTTGGGAAACCTAACTACCAGCTGGCCTCAGAACCAAAAAGTTGAGTTTTAGAGCTGTACCTTCATTAGGAGATAATAAAATGAGTTGTCTAGTCATAAAAACAGAGGCACAAGCAAAACTCATACAATGAGTCAAGAAGATCGAGAATTTGACATCCTAAACTGGAAACAATGCATTATAAATACATCTACGCCAACCTAATAGATGAAAAAGAGGTGTGAAGCTGGTTAGTTTATTCTACATTAATTGCTACATTAGCTTTTGCTATGTGCTTATCTGTTTTAAATTTTAAACAAAGATCAGCAACAATCATTAAATATGCTTTGCTGTCTTCTTTGTTTCTAAATGTCTTGATCAAGCTTAATAGCACACACTGTACTGTCTTTTATAACAAGACCATAAATTTTAAATCTTATCTCCAAAGAAAGAATAAAATCTCCAAATAAGTCCCAGATTGATGATCTGATTAACAAATCAAAAAAAAAAGTGATAACAGATTGTTTACTCATTGTATGGCCAAGAAACCAAAACTAAATTCTTTCATGAAGAAAAAAAAAATTAGAGTGAGCTCGAAATTATCATCAATGATCTGTAGAGGATTGGGAAAAGTTATTTTTATTGACATTCTTATTCATAACTTATTTTACAATATTTTATAAATTAAAATAAGTATTATTTTAGGTTTGCTTCTCAAATAAATCAGTCTTTCATGTGATGAAGGAAAAAACAGCTTTTGCCTATCATAGACCAAACAAAAGGTTTTATTCTAACTGAACTGAAAGCATCCACAATCAGTAATGATCTGGTTTGTTATTTTTGGGCAAGAAGCAGGACATCTCTACAAAGTGGTTGGAATAATGAGACAGGACCAATATATAGAGGTTTTGGTGAATCAGTCGATTCCTGAAATGCCAGATTGGTTTAAAAAAATTCAAAATCTTATATTTATGCAAGATTGCACAACTTGCCACACAGCAAAAATAGTTATGGCTTATTTAAAATGGAAAAAAGTTGATGAACTGCCATGGCCAGGCAATTCACCTGATCTCAATCCCATAGAAAACATGCACAATGATAAATAAAATTTTTTTATTATAAATATATCTTTTATGTTGTTTTTTTATGTTTTGTATAATAAGTTTCTATACAAAAAAAAAAATTGTCATTAAGTATCAGCAAAAAGAAAAAAAAATTGTCATTAAGTATCAGCAAAAAAAAAAAAAAAATTGTCATTAAGTAAACTTGGTCATCTGAGTAAAAAATAAATTTCTTTGTTTTTAATTTTACCTGAATTTATTTAATTTATAGATAGCGCTGATATCTAACATAATTGTCATTCAAACTTTTTTAACAAAATTTTTTTTATAATCTCAATACAAAAAATTTAATTTTTTTTTAATAAAATTAATTACTTCTTTTAACTTACCATTTAAAGAGTAATTTAAAAATTTAAAAATGATAAAAAATTGCTTAACTGAAATTAATTTAGGCGTACGTAAAATAGCTTAAAATGTACGTAAATTGAAAACTTTGTAACGCCTAAAACAAGGCTAATGATGCTTTGTCTGTAGCGCAAACTCATTAGAAAAGAGAAGCCTGATGTGCTCCTCTTCATTAATGATAATAATTTGTAATAATTTGTGATAATAATTTGTAATAATTTATTACTATATAAATAAAATCAAATTCAAATAATAACCAAAGTTGATCTTAATATATTTAATCTTTTGCCATGACCTAAGAGAAATTAAAAAGATCTTTAAACTTTTTTTTTTTTTTACTGTTCTATAAATAATTTCAATAATTGACAAAATGAACAATTATTGATAATTTTTGTAGAAAAAATGACAAATGCTAAATGTCAAGCAGCTATTTCAAGCCCTGATATAATTTCAAAACCTACTTCAAAATAAACAACTGTGAAAAACAATTTTGAGTACTCGAGGAATAGTAACTACAAATTAAAAAAAGAAGTATATAAAAAATTTTACCTGTTAAAATAGTTCTTTTGTATAATATACTTGCACTAGTTTGCTGATCAATCTTTTCAACTTCAAATTGATAAAACGAATTTGAAACTAACTTAAACGCTGTGTAGCTCAGTTTACTTGCAATTGTACTGTAACTTTTATGCAGTGTTGAATTTTCAATCATAAATATATTAACCTATAACAATACAAAAATATTTGGTCACAGAAAACAGTCTAACCTGTGTTTAAATAATTTTTAACTATCTGCAATGTCATACAGGTAGTAGAAATCAAGTTCTGATGTTATAAGGTGGGTGTGGGTATTAAGGCCCAGCAGGTAATAAGGCCCACTAGTCCAAACTACAGGAAAATATAAAATGCAAAACTTTTTTTTGGCATTAAAATATAAGAATTATTTGGTTTTATCACTGGCAGCAAAAAAAAAATCAGCCTTTCTTTACCATGCGTTTGACAAAACAAGATTACATCAATGGTTCCGCCAATAATTGCTCAAGTCTAATTTTTAAGGTACGTATTTTCGCATTTTAAAATATTTTATGCTTCTATTTTTTTCAAGTGCATTTGATTGCATTAAGTATTTATTAGTTATCATTACTCAACATGTAATACTTAAGAACGCGTTGAAATAAAAGGATACTTTATCAATAAACATGGCAGGTCTAAAGCAGGTAATAAAGCCCACTAAATATTGGGTAATAAGACCCAAACACAAGGTCAGCAATAATAATAAAAGAAATACTTAAGAAAAGTAATTAAAACAAACAATAAACAACAAACTTTATTTAAGTGAAAATAAATAAAATCACTGTTAAATGATAATAACAAAAATGTTGTTGACCTGAATTTTATACTTTAAAAAATTAAATATATAATACTTTACTTATAAATAGTAACTAAAAAAAATAATTAAAGTTTTTAAAGTATATACGTAGAAATATAAAGAATAAAGCTAAATATAAATAAATATAAACACTTTTTTTTTTTTTTAAAAAAACATTTTATAAATGGACTAAAAAGTAAAAAATAAACTTTTTCTCGGGACCCAAGGGATATGTGTACGTACACAACCTGAAATGTGTATGTACACAACCTGAAATGTGTACGTACACAACCTGATATGTGTACGTACACAACCTGAAATGTGTACGTACACAACCTGAAATGTGTACGTACACAACCTGAAATGTGTACGTACACAACCTGAAATGTGTACGTACACAACCTGAAATGTGCACGTACACAACCTGAAATGTGTCCGTACACAACCTGAAATATCCATTAAAGTCAAAGACTGAAAATGTTAGGCACCTATAGGAACAAGTTGTACTTAGTTGCCCAACATTTTCAGTCTTTGACTTTAATGGATATTTCAGGTTGTGCACATACGCAAAATCCTTTGGTCCCGAAAAGAAATTTATTATTTACTTTTTAGTCCATTTATAAAATGTTGTATTTGGAAAAAAAAAATTATAAATTTATTTTTATAGATTTAAATACTATTTATTAGAAAAAAAAATTTCTTCTTCTTTCAGTTTTCAAATATTGCCATTGGATATGGCAACTGCTTATGAAAGTAGAGCTAATTGGACAGAAGGTCAATTGCAGGAGGATCTCAAAGCTGAGAATAATGGATCATCGCAATGAGAACCTGCCATAAAATACAAAACTCCTCGAAGAACTCTATGAAATCACTTGTGTACAGGATCCCAAAAAAAGCCTTTAGAAAGAAAAACTATACTTTCTAGTGAGCAGGAGCAAAAGCTGATATCAAAAATTTTCAAATTATCAGACATTGGCATGCCAATAACACTAAAACTATTGAGGGCATATGTTTTTGAGTTTGTGGAAGCAAACAATATTAATTATTGCTTCAATGTCAATGAAAAACTGGCAGGTAGAGACTGGTGTATTAATTTCTTAAGACGCAACCCAGAAATTAGCTACCGATAAGCGCAATTTATGAACCCAGCAAGGGAACAAAAAATGAATTTGTTTATTGTTAAGGACTATTTCACCAAATTAGAAAAACTAATGGTATTGCATTATTGTATTATTTTTTAATACTCCAGAAAGGCTCTACAACATGGATGAAAAAGGAGTCAGACTTTTATCCCCAGCAAGCTGTTTTAACACAATGGGAAGCGAAGAGAGTTCATCTTGTTGCTCAGGAACATGCGGAAAATGTGAATGGTTGGCTGTGCCAATGCTACAGGATGTTGTATACCTCCAATGGTGTTTTTTAAAGGTATTTGGCTGAAGAGTGAATTGAGTAACAATTTGCCTCCTGGTTCAACTGCATTAATGATGGAGAAGGGGTCGATGACCATCCAACTCTTTCTTTTATGACTTGAATACTTCGATAAATATAAAACAAGTGGAGAGACTCTGTTAATTATCGATGGTGCTGCTTCCCATATCAATATTAGAATAGTTGAAAAGGCAGAAAGCTTTAAGATTTACATCTTTTGCTTACCAAGCAATACTACCCATAAACTGCAGCCCATGGACAAATCCATCTTTAAAGCTTTTAAGTCCTATTGGGGTGAAGATGTCATGAAATATTTGAGGACACATCCAAACAGAAGAATAACTAAATCTGGATTTAGCAAACTTTTTACACCAGCACAGACAAGTGCATGTCTATTGGTAATATTACTAGTGGTTTCAGGGCTACTGGGATTTATCCTTTTAACCCCAATGCCATTCCAGATACTGCTTTTTTGTTTAGCATTGTGAAAGAAATTGATGATGCATCTTTTAACATGTGCATTACTGAATCTGGTCCTTCTTCAGTCATACAATCAGGACCTTCAACAACTCAAATCATCCATCCAGGTCCTTCAACAGCTTCAGTCGTCAAATCAAGACCTTAAACAACTCCAGTCATCCAACCCGGTCCTTCATGAGCTTCAATCATCCAACCCGGTTCTTCAAAAACTGCAGTTGTCTGTCCCAGTCCTCTGTCAGCTTTAATCATCTGACCCGGTCCTTCACCAGCTTCAGTCACCTAACCCGGTCTCTCAACAGCTTCAGTTGCCCAGCCCTGTCTCTCAATGGTTTCAGTCAATCAACCCAGTCCCTCAACAGCTCTAGTCGATTAACCCAATCCCTCAACAGCTCTAGTCGATCAACCCAAAATGAATATTAATGCAAGTTTCACTGATTTAATGCCAAGTTCAATCTTCCACTTCTAAAGCTGTTAATAAAAAGAATAAAGGCAAAAGAAAAGCAAATGTTGCTAAAACCCTGACAAAAGAAGATTTTCAATCTTCCACTTCTAAAGCTGTTAATAAAAATAATAATGGCAAAGAAAAACCAAGTGCAAATATAAGTCTGTAAGTGTGGATGTGAATAATTGGTTTTGTTTGTTGTGCCAGCAAAAGTCTGTAGAAAGTATGCGACAATGTTGTAAATATAAAGTATGGTACCATGAGGCGTGCATGGGGTATGATTCTGAAGATGAGGAAGAGTTTTTCTGAGTCCATTTTGTGAAGATTAATGATTTTCTTTGTAACATTTTTTTATTGAATTTTTTAACTTTCTGTTGTTATTCACTGTTGTATAAAAAATTAGTTCTTTTGAAGTATATAAATATGCAAAACTTTTTATTATTTTGTAAATGTGAGATAAACTATACATTAAAAGAATGTTTCCTAACTATTTTTTGTTTTTTCTTTCTTTATTTTTTGTATTTTTTACATGGACTATATTACCCCCAATAGGGAGGTTAAGGCCCACTTAAGGCATGTTAAAAAAAACATGAATAACTTTTGTTATAGTTAATTTCTCAATATGCAGATATAATTTTTACATCAAGTGATGATTAATCTTTTTTTTTTAAACTTAATAATTTTTTAAGGCCTGGAAACTAAAAGCCTGGCGGGCCTTAAATCCCACACCTACCTTAAAGATAGTAGAATACAAATTTCAATGTTATAGAGGAAGTAGTAATCAATGTCCTATAATAATCAATAATGTATTGATGTAACATAGTTAAACAAAGCATAATTTTCCAAATAAAACAATTAAATTAATGCAAATGAATTTTATAAATTTGCCAAATGTAAACTTAGTTCTTTTTCATGTTTTAAGCAATACTTTCTTTAATCCTTTTCCTCCCTACATCACTATTAAAGGCAAAATTTTTTAATTCTACAATCCTATTGTATTTTTAAACAATAAAAACAACTTTATAACAACAGTAAAGTACAACATTTTATACAAACTTTTATTTTATTATTAAAAACTTGACATAACTTCTATTACCTTAAAATAATACAACTGCTTTTCAGTATTTTCACTTTTACCTTCATGCCATATAACTGTAGCAGAAGTGCAAGTAACAAACAAATCTATTTTATTTCCTGAGAATAATTCTCTATCTAAAATTATTTCAAATGTTTTATATAATTACAGATAACATTTATACATAGTACAGATAAGATTTTTATAAATTAGAGGTGTAAGATAATATTTAATTTTCTTTAAATTACCTTTTAATTCTTGTAGGCAATTAGACTCAATATATCTTAGTGCATAAGAACCTCTATTATCAATAGCAAAGTATATTTTTAAGGTATTGTAGGGTTCTAAAAAAAAAACCTAATAAATTAGTTTATAATAAAAAACATTAATTACAAAATACAATAATTATATATATATATATATATATATATATATATATATATATATATATATATATATATATATATATATATATATATATATATATATATATATTATACATATAATAATTATATATATATATATATATAATATTATAAGAAATATTATACATACATTATAAATGAAATGTATAATATTTCATATATATAATAAGGCTAAGAAGGAAATATCCTCAGACATTTAAGATTCAATAGGGTGCCAAAGATGTCCTTGAAATAGAGGTTGTGAGACCAACTATCAACAACTAAGCTATCAAATTATCTTTAATTTAAAAATTTTATAAAATACTTTTATAAAATTTGAAATAATTAATAATAATTTTTACAATTTTATAAATTTATAAAACTTTGAATATTTAAATTTACATTACTTTTATAAAAATTTTATTTTTTAATTTTAAATTTTAATTTTTATTTAAAAATTAACCTTTACTGTGTTTCAGTTATTTTAAAAGATACTTAATTTTGCTAAAAATTGTTAAATATTACTTTAATTGTAAGTTCAATTGTAGTTCGCAGATTTTATTTCCACTCTAAGTACGTTAATTATTTACTACTTAAAAACTTAAATACACTATTAACACTTGTTTTATCATCAAAATATTAAGACGTGAGTCACTACTTAAGTGATTAAGTGGTGATATTTATATCATCATAGATATGCATTATATCACCTTCACTGATAGGTGATATGATGTTATCCCTATCTTTATCTGTTATCCCTATTTTCAAAAATTCAGCAGTGGCCTGATTCATCTAACTACCGTCCCATTAGTCTTCTTTCTATCATAAGCAAGGTTTAATTAACTTTAATTAACAAACACTAAATCTCTTATCTTGAATCTAATAACTAACTTACTGATCACCAATATGAATTTCAATCTTCTCATTCTACAGCTGATTTGCTAACAGTAATAACCGATAGGTTTTATCATGCATTAGATAAAAGTGGGAAGGTTAAGGCCATCGCTCTTGACATTTTTAAAGCTTTTGATAAAGTTAGGCATGCTGGTCTTCTCCATAAGCTTTCTTCTTATGGTGTATCTGGTAACATCTTTAAAATTACCAATTCATCTCTGGATTCTATTCTCTATCTCTATAAATCTCAAATCCGACCTTTTATGGAAAAAAAGTTGTCATATCTGGTACGGATCTTCAAATGATGCCCTTTCTCTTTTAGACAAGGTACAAAAACGCATTGCAAACATAGTTGGACCTGCTCTAGCAGCCAACCTCCAACCATTATTACATCATCGTAATGTTGCTTCTCTTTCTCTTTTTTATAAATACTATAATGGACACTGCTCTAAAGAGCTAGCATCTTTTGTGCCAACTATTAAAATTCATTCTGGTGTTACTCGTCATTCAATTAAATCTCATCCTTTTTCTGCAACTGGTCCTAAGTGCTCCAAAAACTCTTATTCGTCTAGTTTTTTTGCTTGAACATCAGTTCTTTGGAATTTGCTTCCTTCATCTTGCTTTCCTGATTCATATAATTTGCAATCTATCAAACCGTCTGTCAATTGTTGTCATGCTTTACAATTTTCTTCTTTTCTCTTCCAATAACTTCCAACTCTAATTAGTGGTTGCTTGCAGCCTTGTTGGGAGTGAAGATGTTAAAAAATATATATATATTTGTTTATAATATCCAAAAGTAATAATGAAATAATCTTTTATTTGACGGTTTTCATAGTAATGTGATAAGAAAAATGCCTAAAAAAAGCAGCAGCAAAGCTGCAAATGATGAGCACAGGATGCAAGCAACTTACATAAGCATGCTGGGGTTTCAGACAAGTTTATACAAGCACAACTATGAGTGTGCCAACCATGACAAATTACGCAGTATGTATTTAATCACTTTTACATAAAATGCACAATACAGTAGCACATGAGTCAGATTGTATGTTTCTTGTTTAACTAGCTGATATAATAAACTTTTAATTATAGATATGAAAAATCTGAAAAATTGCACAATAACATTGATAATTTCTTAAAACTTTTTCTCAAAAGATTAGCGCTCACACACAGATAAAAAAAAAACAGCTTGCACCAAGATAGTTCCCTAGCTTTAATCATTACAAAAAATTGTAATGATTAAAGCTAGGAAACAAAAATAGCCCTAAAATTTGAAACACCTCTGCCGTAAACGTGAGATCAACAGGTTCATAAAATTTTTTTTTCTTTTTAGTTTAAAAAGAAAAAAAAATTTATGAACCTGTTGATCTCACGTTTACGGCAGAGGTGTCTCAAATTTTAGGGCTATTTTTGTTCCCTAGCTTTAATCATTACAATTTTTTGAAAAGCATCTTTATTTGACATAAGTAAACATAAACGTTTGGAGTTTGCTCCATATCTATTTAGCTAGCTCTTACAAAAAGTTAGCTATATCAAACACACAAAAAATGCGAATTTTCTTAAAGGGATCTCCAAGCACCAAGACAAGTTGTGTTCATATCATAGATAAACATTAGAAAATAAGTTATTAAACTTTTCAAAACAAATTATTGAATAACAAAAGCATTTGTCATTTTACCATTATACTTCCAGTTGTGAGTGCCTAATTTTAAGCTTTCAAATCTACATAGTTTTTTCTGTTAAAAAGACATCTGGTTTCAATAATAAATGTTTTCGCTCACCGCAGAAATTTTCAAAAACTCAATTCAGTTTTACACAATCAGATTGGGTTTTCCCCTTCATATTTAGTCTGTGGCGGTTATAAAAAACGTTTGCTGTTGCATGTTTTTGTTTTTTGTTCAACATATTGTTTAGTGCTTAAGTTAAATAAACTAGCATAATAAAAATAGTAATTTATGTGAAGCAAACTTCAAAATACACAAGATGAATATTTTTCTTAGGAAATAGGTAATGAATTTTTTTATATACAACACTAAGTACAATATAATCCAACATGGTTAAATTTTGAAATATTTAAAAAATCTTTATTTTTTTAATAAATTGAGGAAACCATTTTAAAAATGATCTTTTATATATTTTTAACTTAAGATTATAATAATTTATATTTCTAACTCAAGAAATCGTTTTTAAAATGATCTAATATATATTTTTTAGATATATATAAAATTGATATTAAAAACTTGAATCTTATATTTCGTTTAACTGCTAAAAAGGGAAAACCCCTGCAATTTAAACTCGACTTAAGTTTTTTGAAAGAAACTTTTGTATTGACGTCAATAACTATTGGACAACAAAACAAGTAATAGACAAAAAAGCATGAGTGTTTAATAAGCATAATTATTATTATTTTTATTTTAATTCATAGGTTAAAAATTGTTTAAAGTGTTTTAAGTATTTAATAACTACTAAAAGTAAAATTATTAAAATTTACTTACTTTATGGCCAAAGTACTCCAAACAATTTTCAATAAATATTTGAAAATAGTCTAGTATTAGCAACTTAAATGTTTAATAAAATATTAAATAAAACAGTTTTTTCTTTTAACAAAAATGTCCATTGCTAAATAATGTATTCAAAGAATTATTATTTTACAATTAATTACTATTTTACATCGAGATACCGAGAGAGACATGAGACAGACTATTATTATTATTAAACTGAGAATGAAGGTGAACACAATAATAAAAAAATGGATAAAAAAATAAAGAAGTTAAACACAATCAAAGTGATATTTAAAAATCAAAGTTGCAGCACCAGTTTTAACTGAAAGGGGGGAGGGGGTTGTAGGTTACTACAAAAACATTCCCTCTTACTGTTGTCCAAAAAAAATGGAATGCCTAAAAAAAACTCTAGGTTTGTGATTACATGTTGTGAATGGATGGTGTCCCTGTCAGTCATTTTGGTGTGCATTGTTGGGGCTACATAAGGAATGCTGATTTATTATTTTGGGTTAATTAGCGAGACTGACACAGCTGCATATTTAATTGCTTGGGATGTTATGCTCTATTTATAGAGCATTACCAAAGTAACCAAAAATATGAGGTATAAAAAAACTCATCAACATCTGCGTTATTGTTGGCTTTAATACTCATCACATTGAATGGCTTGACTCTAGTAGTATCTAAAGTGGCTCTATTTGATGAAGACTCAACTTTACATTCCTGTCTTGAAAAAAAGTCTTTTGTTTTCTATTCCTTAGAACAGGCAGCAAATCTTGAATCTGATCTCTTTTTTTTAACAGTTTGGAGCTCGCAGTGACTTAAAAACTTTAACTCCAACAAAACTCAACTATTTACTTCAAACAACTATCACAAGATTGTTGACATTCCTATATCAATTAATGGCAACAAGACTCAGTGAGAGGGTCACTGGATCTTTCTCTATATGCCTCTTGGATTATTATTCACAACTGACCTTTCACAGAAACCATTATATAATATAACCATTATATACAACCCATTCTAAAGTTGTTGGTTCTTCTAATAATGCTCTTTTTCTTGTTGATAAAGTCTAAGAGCACATTGAAAACAAAGTTGAACTTGCTTTATCTGCCAAGCTCAAACCACTCTCTCATTGTTGTAAGGTTGAATTTCTTTTCTACAAATACTACAAATACTATCTGGTCTATACTGGTCACCACTCAAAGGAGCTATATCTAGTTCCATCAACTAAAACTCATTCTTGCCCATCTCATCATGCAGCAAAGTTGCATTTTTTTTACTGCATCTATTCCTGCATCCTCAAAAACTTTTATTTATCTAGTATTTTTGTCCCATCTTCTAGTATTTATCTACCACCTTCATGTTTTCCTAACTCATACAACGTTTAACTTTTCCTTCCAAGCCTTTGTCCAACCTTTTAATTATGCACCTCTCCTTTTGTTCTGTTTTTTTCAAATTAAAAAAAAAAAAGAGCAGCTACTTTAACTTCCTTCAAATCCTTCAGCCTTAGAAAACTATTTTTCGAAGATTCCTTTATCCGTTTCTTTATTTCTTATTTTATAATTATCAATATTATAAAATAATTCTTTAAGTTTGTTAATTTCACGTACAAATTAGGTTGATAAATTGCAATTTAAACTTGATATTGCAAGCTTTATGTTTGCATCCTTATTATACTTAACAGAACCAAAAATATTGAAATAATAAACAAAAAACAAGTTATTATTATTAACAAAAATTTTATAATTTGTTTTAAATATTTAAAGAACTTAAAAATTATTTGTAAAATTTATTTATAAATTTTTTAAAACTCTAATGTCTATTACAGAAAAAAAATACTAATGAATTTAAAAACATACCAACAACATTAACTTTAAAAACTTTGCAACTCAGAAATGCTGTTTCTACAATTAAAAGAAAATTAACAAAGTTCTGACATAGAAAATAGACAGAAATAAAATATTCTTTATTATTAAAATACAAAACTTATCAAATTTTTCTTTTAAGTTAGAATAGAAAAATTACACTTGTAAAAGCATACAATAAGATACTTGTAAAAGAACAATACAGATTAACCATTTTATAGACCTAGTGTAAAATATTTTATTGATCTGAAGCAAAGCATATTTTTATTTGTTTTGAGGTCGAAAAAAGAAACTAATAAACAAGAATGCAATTTGGAATAAAACAAAAATATTAACTCCTTTTTATCAAACTTATTTCAGTTTTTCCAAATAATATTGTCACAGTACTGAAATTTCAGTATTCGGTACCAATACCTATCAAAATACTTTGTACCTAATTTTGTACCTAAATGAAGGAAAAATTATACTGACCACAAACCAAATTGTAAGCGTGTATAGTGCACAACATCATAAATTTACATTTTGAGCAAAAACTTGTTTTGTTTTTGTATTTCTAGTCTGTTATTCTAAAAACTTTCTAGATAAAGTATATAAAAATATATTCCAACACTCGTTACGATTTATAGACTTTAGATTTTTTTTTAATTCTTTTTAAATTTTTTTAACTTAGTTTTCTTTTGTTGTATGTAAATTGAGTTAATAAATTTTTGTGATCTACAAAAAAAAAAAAAGAATTACATAAAAATATTTTGGGTAATGACTTACCCCCTACCTATCAGAGAACACTAAGAATTTCAAAAGCATTCCAAATTAAGCTTTAAATGATGGTAATGGTCAAAAAAGATATGATGTTTTTTCATTAAAAAACCTTAGTTTTAATTTTAGAGCCAAAAAATAGTAAATAAAATAGTAAATAATTAACAAAAAAAGTCTGTGGACTAGTCGCTGAAATTTAGCTATGAGTCGGAATCGTTAATTTATATTTAGTTTCAAGAAAAAAAAAATCAATTATCACTACCTATTGACTTCTGGAAAAAATCTAAATGAAGAACACGATTTATTAATAGTACTAATGTACTAATTGAAATTGTTGGTACTAATAATCTTGATACTTTAAAAGACTTTTACCGTAAGTACTTTTTTAATAAAGTATCAAGTACCGTGACAACACTAATCTAATTGTCAATTATCAGTGTAAAAGGGTAGCACTAGAACACTTTCAATGTCGGTCAACAAAATCACCTAGTGATGGGGACACAAGCAGCTATCTTTAATCTAAACTCGATTTAAAATTTTTTTTAGAATTGATTTTATTACAAAAATGAACAACTCTTAATTCTACAAAATCCATAGAGATGCAAATTTTAGGTTAAATGCTTTTAACAAGTTTAACATCAAAACTTTTTATCTGTATGCACTGACCACTGAGTTTGTGAAAGATATTTAATAACACATAGTGTGTACTAATGTTTACAATAAAATTCACCTATTCTTGGGGTAAAGCAAGCATAAAATATACACTTAAAAAATGTAAAATGTGTCAGAGCATAACAATTTTATGAAAACTTGTTTTTTTTTTTGATTTGTTGAACACAATTTGTTGATGAGAGGTAGAATTTATGCTCTTACCTGAAGCTTAAAATCTATAAAAAATGTTTTACACTTAATAGTATATACTCTTACTGAACAATAATTTTTATATAGAACAAAACTATATCAAGAAATTAAAAAGTTTTAAATCATCACCTGCTTCTTTCAAGTATATGGAATAATTTTCTCTAGTATTTAATATTTTTTCCCATATAAGGAAAATTTTTGTACTGATAAAAATACTTTGCGACTCTAAAGCAGTTATTATTGGACCAATAACAAGATCCACGTTTGTATAGGAGCCATTAAAACCATAAACTTGTTTAGAAGTTATGCTGTTAAGTTTTTTGTTATCCAAATAAGTAGCAAACTTATTACTGTTGTTAATGCCATCAAACTTTAAAATAACAAAATACCACTTTTGGAATTTAATTGATGTTGATTCAAATTTGATAATCCTCAAAAACCTTTTTAATCTTTCCTTTAATTCAATCTGAAATTCTGCATTAAAAACAGGTTGTCCTGAAAAAAAATTTTGTTTAAATAACAAAATCTAACTATGTAATAAATATATATTTTTGCACATTTTGAATCAGACAAATTCCACAACATTTTATTTTTCAACATTTAAAACGATTTTTCACAGAAATTTAAATAATAGGTATATTTTTTTAATTTAATACTCAAATATTAAAGATTTATTGAAATCATTTTAATATTATTTTTAAAGGTTCACCAAGAAACTTCTAAAAATATAAATTATTCTAAATTTAGAAACATGATTTTTATATAGATTTTTAGTGCATATTCATTAAAAAGTCAAAATTTTAATATATAACCTTTTACAAATATACAGATACTACTTATCTCTTTTTACTTATCTTTTTTTATTCACTGACATGAACTTATATTCACTGATTTATATTTATATTCACAGTAGATTTATATTCACTGACATGAACTCAAAAATCTACCAACATCTCCTTAAAAATCTACCTACATTAACAAAAAAATCTACCAACATTTCCTTGAAAATCCACCTACCACCGTCTCCTTAAAAATCCAACTACATTAACTCAAAAACCCACCAACATCTCCTTAAAATTCTACCTACATTAGCTCAAAAAATTACCAACATTTCCTTGAAAATCCAACTGCATTAGCTCAAAAACCTATTTACAACACATCTAAAGGAAAGCCAGTATAGGGTAAGAAAAAATAATTTGGGGGTTATCTCAAAATAATTTTGTTTGTATATCTGAGTAATAGATAATAAAGTAAATGATAAACAAATAGTAAATGAATAAAAAAAAGGTTTTGCAACAATAGCTTGAAAAATACAAAATAAATTTAACTTTACTGCTTTTAAATTTTAAAACAATTTCAATTTATTTAGATTAGATAGAATCAAATACTTTTACATGTTTGATTCTCTCTAACCTAAATAAACTATGACTATTGTGTGAAGTAATGTGCTTTTAAAGTAGATTTTACTGAAAAAATAGGTCCAAAAAAAGATAAAGACTATTAATGAACTTTAAACTGTAAGGACACTGAATTTTAAAGTATATTTTGTTTTGCTTCAATAATGATTTTTAGCAAAAATTAATAAAATCTGAAATAAGCATAAGCATATCATATAGGTATCTAGATACCGATATCTATAGGTATCTAGGTATCTGAGGCATGAGTGTAATAAAACCAAAATAAACCTCTCAATAGCACAGAACTTGATTGTTCTATATGTGTGTTTACTTAACTACTTAACAATTATATTTTTACTTAATGTAATAATTAAAATTGAGATAAAAAATTAAAGAATTTAAAACTTGTAATAGTACAAATTTTCCAACTAAAAATGTGCACACTAAAAAAAAATTTAATAACAATCTACCATTAACCATTGTCACCCATACATTTATTGGTTGAAAAAAATCTCCTGAGAATGTAATCAAATTTAAGTTTCCATTATGAGGTTGCTCATTAACCAACTGAAACCAAAACTTAATAGTCAATCCATGAGCACATTTTTTTAAATTTATAAAGCAAGACGAATTGAATTTGTATGTGCCAAAAATCATTAAGAGTGGCGATGAAAACCGAAGATGACTAACATTATCATTGGCATACACAAACGGTAAACTATTATTGGTTCTGTTTTGTGTAAAAACATCTTGAACTGATAAATCTTTAAATGGCCAAAAGTAGGATATATTGGAATTATCTAAAAAAGTATAATTATTTTAAAAAGCAAAATATTGAATGAAAAAATAAAATAATGATTTTCCTATAGATAGCAAAAATTAGTAGTATTATTATTACATTTTTGTATTATATACAAGAATGTATAACACATACATGTACATTACCACATTATTTTGTTTATCATAAATTACTTTGTAAAAAAAATAATTTACACTTATTATGAATATATAATAATTAAAAATCAAAATTTAGTTTTTTAACCTTTTTTAATATTTTAATTTAGCATTTGTATTCACTACCAAAATAAATTTTTTGTATAGTTGAAGTTTTTAACTATTTTGTCTTAAATATTATAAAGGACTGCCAAGGAGGATGAGAAAGTCAAGGAAAATTGGTCTCAACATTAATACTTTTTTTAAATATATTTATTTACTTAAAAAAAGGGAAAAAAAGGAGTTTTTTGTTTTAATTTTATTTTGGGGGAAGGAGGTAATCAATATTGACATTATATTATATGGGGGCCTATTGAAGTTTGACAAGTTGTTGAAAAGGGGGAGGGGGAGATAAAAATTGCCAAAAAACTGTTATTGATATAATTAATTAACAGAACTTAAGTTAAGATGTTAAAAATAAAGGCTAAGATGTTAAAAGTAAAACTATTTTATGAGTAACAGAGACCAGTTAAAACTTTTTAAAAAACAAATTGGGTCACTAAATAAAATTTTTTTACCTAGTACTTTTTTATCAAATTGTTTTTTATTAAAAATGCTTTAAAATAAATTTAATAAATTAATGTGCATGTAATTATTTTAAACTTAGGTAACATTAATTTATAACTTAAAAACAAATAAAATTTTACAAACACATTGATTCAATGTAATTACAATAATAGTCAATAATTGACTGTTATTGTAATTAAGATATTTAATTTTCTATAACTAAAATTTCTATAAGACATGTTTTCTATAACTTTTATTTTTTTTATGTTAAATAATGTTCTAGTAAGGCCAGTAGTTTAAAAAAACTTTAATTATACATTTTATAATTAAACTATTCTTATTTTTATTTATCCTTCATAACACTTGAACAATATTTACTTTATAATATACACAAATTGTATTTTTATTAGTACCAGTTCTTTGTTTTCTGGTTCTTTAAACAAACTTTACTTTAACTCAGTGGAAGTTAACCTGGTCCCTTTCCGTCCACTGTTGGCTAGGAATTTTTGGTGGGTGATAGGAACTTTTTTCCGGTATAGAAAGTTACTTCCTGTTTTAAATGTTTATAATTAAAAAAAAAAAAAGTTAATGGTTGATTTCATAATTGCATTAGTAACAAGAACAACAATATATAAATGTATAAACAATATATACATTCAATATATAAACAATATATAAACAATAAATAACAATATATAAACAATATATACATTCATCATTTTTAAAATATTCCAATACTCAATCACTGGTAAATAGAAAATATTTGTAACTTGCAATTTTTTGTTTTAGTTTTTTTTCAAATTCTAATTCACTTCCAATAAGGCTGCAAGCAACTGATATTAAGTTACAAAACAAAAAGTTAAAGGAAACGTATGACAGAAGACTTGAAAGGTTGAAAGTTGTATGAGTCAGGAAAACATTGGAGAGAATTCCAAAGGGTTAAAGTTTGGGGGAAAAAACTAGACAAATAAAAGTTTTTAGAACATATAGGCGCAGATAAAGTAAAAGGATGTGACTCTACTGAATGATGAGTAAAGCAATGAATGAGTTTTGGTTAATAGAACTAAAGATGACAGTTCCTTTGAGCAGCAATCATAATAGTGGTTCTAGAAAAGAGAAATAGATGCAAATTTACAACAATGGGATAGAGGCACAAGCTCGGCAAATAAAGCAGGTGCAACTGCGTTTACAAGGCGTTTTTGGATATTGTCTATAAATAAAAGAACATCATTAGAACCAGCCAAATATGACAACAGTATTCCATACAGGGATGAATAAGCGATGTTTAAGAGAAAACTTTACAAAATGTAATGAAGCTAAGTAGATGTCTAAAAAACATTCAAAAGGTAAGGATAAACTGATTATTTTTCACATTTTTTAAAAAAATTTTGAAAAAAATTCTTAAATCGATCAATTTAAAAATAAAAAACAAAAAGCAACGAACGAAGATGGAATACTTGCCTCTTATTGCATATTGCAATTATTTGCAAAATAAAACTTAAAAAACAGTGGTTAAAATTATAATATTGGAGAAAAATTAATAATACCTTCAATAAGTGAACCTATTATCACAACCATATAATAAAATACAACATAAGCTTTAAAAATATTGCTATTAAGCAACACTAGGGTTAACATGGAAATTGAACTAATTGTTTTCTAACAATGTTTATTTTCCATGCAGTTGGATGAATCTACCATTGCAGGCATTTACGCATTAATGATGTCACGTATATGTTATTTTGATGAAAATTATATATTTTTCAATTTGCATAAAATCTTATTACAGATACAACTGATTTATCCATATTTACTGGGAAATCATAATTTACAAAAAATATTATTCCTTTGAAAAATAGTGTTGCTTCATTTGAAGAGTAAAATACAGAATGCTTTATGTGTTTATTGTTTGCACAGACAACAATATAGGTTTGTTGTTGGAAAAAACTCAGGTAAAAGTTTCCATCATAATTCATCTTTTGACACTTTTTGACATCTTGACAATTTGCTGATGCAAAGAATCAAGAAGAACTCTTATAATTCAGATATAATGAAAAAAAACAGAATTTCTATAATAGTTAATATGACGACTTTTGGCAAAATAAATATCTTTTTTATATCCAAATTTGCGGAAACAGATTAAATTTATTATTATCCTACTTTAAATCTAGTTGAATAAGATTTTAATACTGTTGACCATATTATAACCAAAAAAAGAAAATGCCTGAATATTTCTGAAAAAGTAGACATTTTCTAGTTTCTTACAATAGTACCAGATATTAAATATTTAACTTTGCAGCATCAGCCTCATTTAATAGTTTAATTAGTTAATTGCAATAGAAACTTTATATAACCATTTAATTGCAATAGAAATTTTATTTTTATTCATTTCAAAGCAAAAATAAATTATAGAAATGTTTGTTTTTTGTCATTAATTTTTAGGTTGAGGTGTGATACTGTGTACATAAAGTACATTGTTATAATGTAGTTGTTGTACATATTTTTTTAGTGTACTAATAATATTTATTCATAAAAAATATTTTATTTATATTTTATGAATTGTTAAACACAGGTGGGTGGTAAGAATATTTAACTACTAATTGAGGTAAAAAAGTGGGTATTAGTTGAACAACATTTACTTTACAATTATACAAACTGTTCTTTTATTAGTTCTTTGTTTTCTGGTTCTACTGCTTGAGTATCTTTGAGAGATATTTATATGTATACTGTATCAAAATGGATGTATTAAGATTGTGAAAATCACAATCATAAGTCTGAGGCCTTAGTATTATTGATTCACTAGCTTTTCGGCTTCTGAATCACAATGTTATTAATATGTGCACATTACTATGGTGACATTAGTCAGGCATTAGGGTAGGGTTGCCAGACGACAGGCATTGGTAGGGTTGCCAGACGTCCGGCTTTTAAGAAGGAAAATACAGCGCCAAACCTGTAAAAATATATTTTTTACTGTGTTCTCCTCCATAAAAGCCGGACCTCTGGCAACCCTATATATTGGGCATTTACCGAAAAGCTGTTATTTTTTTTAGTAGTATTTATCAACAACACATGTTCCTGTAGCATATTCCTAAATGCTAAGAAAGGTAGAAAATTTACAAATAGAGACATTTTTTAATTGAGAAAAGTGTCGTCGAAACCTATATTGGCTCGGAAGAAGAAGGGTCGAATTTTGGCCCTGCCTAATTATTGGAAATCGCATTCGAGTAAGCTACTTCTTGGTCTAAAAAGTTGTCTTTTTCGGCGAGAAACGTAATTTTGTAAGATATTTTGCATTGTACTCCAAATGCCTAAAAAATGTTCTCTCGATTTATGTATAATGGCTGGAACAATACAGCTGTGGTTTCAGAAATAAGATAAAAGTTAAAATCACTTTTTAGCTAAAAAAAATTTCCTTCTAAAAATTACAACTTTGAAGAGCTGCCGGGAAGCGTCAGGTGGTCTTATCTATTTCATATTCTCAAAAATCTTTTGAAAATATGAAAATATGGCCTATTTGTAACAGTTTTGCATAATTATTTTTTATGACAGATTTTTGCAAATTTGAAATTAATGCCACAATTTGATTATTTTCAAATTACAGATATGGTATTTTCAGGCAGTTCAATCTCCAAACTTAAAGTGTTTCTTTGAGATCTTTTACAAAGATCGCGGAGCAAAAAATCAATATTCGAAGCCTGGTAACACAAATACAGAAAATGTTTCCCGGACCTAACTGAAATATGAATGCGATGGGATAATAAAAGTTTATTTTTACTCTCTTATGATGAACTAAATTTCATCAACAAACTTTAATTTTATTTAATAACTTTTTAGTACTTGAAAGTTATGACCACATAAGGTTTCCACCTGCTTGAAAAAGTTTTAATCGCCGCAATTTTTTTTTTATAACTCTAATTTGACATAAGTATTACATACCTAAATTTGGAGTTTTCACATGTCTAAAAAAGCTATATCTAAAATATATATATAAAAAAAAAATACTTTAACCATCATTTTAAATATGAATTAAACAGCATCGATCAATTAAAGTAAAATAAAATTTGAAGATCATGTGTAACTATTTTTAAATTTAAAAGGCATAGGTCATTAAAAAAAGTTAAATATTACCTGCCTTTAATTTATTTATTCTATCATTGCACTAGATGAAAGCTTTAATTAACCTTTACTTCAATAAAATTGCTATGCTAATACCCAAATAATATTTTATTAACCACACAAAACAAAAATACTACTTTATTGTAATGGGTTGCTGTGATTTGAGTCTTGGAACATTAAAAAC